AAACAGACAATCGTTTCGTTGAGTCAATCAAAGACTCGCTTTCAATGCAATCTCAATAATGAGGCAAACATTGAGGCAAACAATTGTCGTTCGTATATAACGTTACGCACGAAAACAGTGACAAACTATTGACAATGACAAAAACAGTGACAATATAGACAACTTTACTGTCACTCATGTCATCACTTATGGCACAAATCACATACTTTTTAATTTTCAAACTTTTTATCAGTTTAGTTGTCATTAGAGAGATTGTATTGTATTGTAGTAATAGATAAAGTCAAATGAGCTTGGTATTATATTGTCGCACATCAATTCTTATGAATATTTGATGGGGAAAATAAGCAAGGTTGTCATTTGGAAATGTTGTCATTTTAATTTTTATTAAACATATAAATTATAAGTTGTTTGTTATAAAATTATAAAAATTACATAATATTTATACTATTTTTTTTATTCACAAAATTTTACGGTAATATTAACTGAAAGATAGATGAGATACTTGTTTGATATATAATACTATTAAAGATAATACTATTATTTGTTATTCAAATGTGTAAATCTCTATCTTTTCTGTCAAAGTCCAGTAAAGTTATAAATAAATCTTAAAACCCTTTTTCCATATTCAAATTTTATTCAAATTTAATTATAGATTGAATTACAGCTAAATATTTTTAATTGAATGCATATTGCAGTGGAAATGATGTGAAAACGGACTTTTTCGACCCCAGAAGTCGATCACTCGGATCCTATAAAATCCAAATACTGTTTCATTTTGAATCAGTTCTGGAATCAAATGATTGGTATTAAAAATATATGTTAATTGACTTTACATTAGACTCACGCGTGAACTGAAACGACGGGAAAATAATATGATTTACATTAATTTTTCTGAAGAAATCATTGGAACCGTTTTGGGAATATTCTATTTCATATGTCTTAACACATCTTAATATTGCATAAGAATAAGAACATCATTATTAAAATTGCATAACATATTAAATGCTTTATAACCTGGTGTTAGGTGTTTGCCAATTGAGTACAACTGAATTGTTTGTCACATATATAGCCCTAATGTCTGTTATCTAAAATTTCATAGCAATTATTATTGAAATTATCACAATTTAAAATTCTTATTCAAAATACCTTTTCGGGAGTAATACTGGTTTTACGACACATTTGAACCAAACAAATACCAGGAAATGCAATGTCAAAAGTATGGCTCCAAATATTGTCTTTTAATACTAAATTATGTGAATTAACTTCAATATAGGGCTCCTATAATGCAATTAAAATAATTAAAAGTACTTTTTGAGAATAAAATAATTGAGTGCAGTTGATCACTTTAAATATTAATATTCTTATTCATTTGATTTGTGCACAAATCGTCTAATTTAAATAAATGTATTAACAAATGCAAAACAACCTCCTGTTCTCTCATTTGTGCAAATAGTTGTTCTGTTGGATAATCGGGACAATTGTGTTGAGTCCATACATTAAAAGGATTGGTGTGATTATTATCCATAATATATTGAGACCATTTCCACTCATCAGATGATATACTGCCATTAAAATGTAAGTTAAAGTTAACGGCGTTTGTTTGGTTGGATAGCAATGTGTCCAACGAATTGACAAATAGAAACGAATATTCTGTGGCCCTAATGGAAATGGGTTTACAAAAATATTAATCGTTTATAGGAAACAAACCTATCATCAAATTCCGGTATATTCTGGTCTGCAATAAAAGCGGTTGAAATCATATGAGTGGTAGAATTTGCTGTAGAATTAGTTTTGAATTCAATCAAAGTGTTTCCCAATTTTGATAATAAGCCCATTATAGTAAACGATGGCTTTTTCACATATTGTGTGTAATGTGGAGAAGTATTGTTCATCTGAAACCTTTAAGAATCGACACATTATAACAGTGTATGGGATATGTTTGGGTGCAATACCGGGCCAATAGTGTTCGTTGTGTGAACTGAAACGGATAGAAACTTAAGAATCCATTATCGAAAGCATAGAGAGATAGTTTGTTTGTGTGATTATATTTATATATATGTCGGGCCAACACTTGAGCAACAGTTGCGGCATATCTGTTGTCCGCCCTCCACGTCCTGTTCAGATTCCAACCGGCCTTTCATACAAACCAACCAAATATAGTAATTAGAAATTAAATTAGACTAAAACGTTAAACACAAACTTCAGGGTCGCCTTCATTTTCAACAAATGGTATTTGTTTGAGAGATGGAAACTCATTGGCCATATCGTTGAGCGCTTTATCTTCGAGTTGGTCCGTATAAGACGATTGGCCTTTATTTCCCTTTTCATGCAATGATATAAAGTCTAACTTAATGTCGCCCTTCTTTCCACTCAAATAATTTGAACCATTGATGAAATGTTTTATTAAATCGATAACAAATGGACCGTTAGTGATGTTCTTCGGCCAATGATCACCGGGTCCTCCAAATATCAAGTCTGTGTCCACTTCTTGAAGCGCTAGAGAACAGGCGTCATAATAGTTAAGGAAACCCTTTTGAGTGACTTTTATGTTATCTTTGAAATGGTTTTTGAATTCAATGGACGGCTCATTCCAAGACTCAAAACTCCATTGTTTTACGTAATCTCTTCCAAACATTTTTATATAACGAGTGACCAATTGTTTGACTAAATCTTTCCACTGAAGAACTTGAGTTCGGTTCTCGAAATCATTAAAAATATTCGATGGGTTTCCCATTATTTCAAACCCTGGTTTCAAGTTATAGTCTCGAAGTCGAGTTAAAAACTTGTCAAGAAATGTAAAGTTATATTGAATTTCATTTAAAGTATTTGTAACTGAAATTAATTTCAACAAATAATGAATTCTGATTTGCTTTATGCCATTGTGTGGTACGGATCCGATTAAAGCCAGATTATGATCCATATCAGAGCTAAGCATATATTCAAATGCATTGTCGTGTGGGTCGGGAGGACTTAATTGACATGTAGTTCAATATTAGTTTATTACGGTATAATTTAATAGCAACAATAACATCGATTCCTTACCAAAACCCTGTGTTTTCCTAAAGAATTTTATTTTAGAATAAATATATTAATACTATATTTAAATTAGATTTGTAGATATGTATTAAAATTAAATTATGTATATAACAAACTTTGTTTCACAAAACATATACAATTCTCTCTCTCTCTCTCTCTCTCTCTCTCCTATTGTATGAATATACAAGTATTGGTTTTAATAATGAGTTCAAATTCTTACCCAAAAGTGGTTTAGAGAATTGCCTACATCTCCAGTGTTAACACTATATTCAATATATTCTTTATTTGAATAATAAAAATCATTTTCATTTTGTTTGTCAATGCATTTTGCGCTGCATTTACTCACAATAATTAAAAAGCAAACAACAAAATATTTAACCATTTTGCATTTAGACCAAAATGAAATAAGATTAACTTTTATACACTTGTATAACTGTTGTTTTTCTCAATATTTAAATGTTTAAACGAGTCTAATCTCATTGGAGATAAGAGTTGAAGTTTGTTTTAAGTAATAACTGCTTTAAAAGTGTTTTAATCTTGGTCGTATCGACTTATGTGCCACAATTATATTATACAATGTGTGCAAAAAAAATCGAGTACAAAAAGTCGAATCAATAATAAAAGTATTTAATATAAAAATTCAAATATTATTAAAACAATTGTATTTTAATGTACGTGTTTCAGAATTTTCTTGAGAATAAGTTTGAAAGTAACATTCGTATAGAAATAATAGCAACATTTAACCCAAACTTACCGCATAGGATAAGCATAATAACGGATCTATAGAAAATATTAGCGCAAAAATAGTATGATGGTCAATTTAATTAAATTTGCTCATCATTTTTGTTCAATTTAATGCTGATGTTGGTAAAGAGGAATTGCATATAAAGACAACATATTGTGCACCAATGCGTCTCTATAACCACCGAGGAGTCACTTATATTAAGATCAGACTGAATACCATTCCCATAAGTTGTGTACAATAGAACTCGCATTAAATATTGTCAAACTTAGTTATATTAATATCAAATCAAACATTTATTTATACATTTATTATCTATAATACTGTACGGAAATTGTTATCTTTGTATCAATTGTTTAGAATTTGACAAAACATTTAATTATCAATTCTTGTCTTCACATAAAATCACATTTATATTAATTTTTATGGAAAACCAAATCAAACCCAAAATGAATCAAATTTAAATGATATTTACATTTATAAAATGCATTCATAACTAATTGATAACTGCAATTGATTCTGCAATTCGTTAGAATCAAATACATTGCAATAAATATCTTAATAAATTACCTGATAATTGAAAAACTGATGATTTGTTTTTAATATGAATTCAATTTTCTGATTCAACATTCATTTGATAGCATTAATCGATTCAATATTTATTTGTTTTTTACTTTGATTTTGCAATTGTTTTCTTTTTGTTATGATTTCTATCGCTTAAAAACATAACAAAAATTAATTTTTATAAATAAAAATAAGTTGAAAATATCGATCATTTTTATACACATAATTTAAGAGCAAAAATTTGTTTTCATAATAAATTTATAACTGATAAAAATTGCGGAACTTATAGACAACTCACGATTCAAAAGGATTTTATCAATAGAAATAATAAACAAATAAATAGAGTTAAAGCCGTTTAACCGATTGTTTTAATACAAGCTGTAAATTATAGGTAATAATAATAATGAATCGTTTTCTCAATGGATTATTTGTTTACTTTAAGATGAGTTCAATTATTATTAAGAATTGAATAAAAAATACATATAATATTAGGTAACGGTTTGGGGATTTAATTCTCCTACAGATGCAACTGGAGGTGGAGTTCCGCTATGACCGGTCAGACGCTGCGGGTCTATGAAAGACCGGGCCGTCGAGTCCTTTACCACCGGATCTGTCAGTCAAAGTAGACAACAAACAGTTATAATCAATCAAATGATGTATGAAATGGTTGTGCGTACAGAAGTATGCGTGATCCATGGCCTCTCTGGCCGTCAGCCTATCCGTGTGATCATAACGTAATAATTTGTCTAAAAAGTCGAGGGCCTCGGGACTGACCAAATGGGAGTTCTCGCTGTGAACGAAGCGTTCCCATCGTTTTCTTGAATGCCTGTCGTGATTACAATTACTAACATTTAACCATTGAATTGGCATTTAAAACGTGAGGACAAACCTCCCGAGAATGTCATCGAATCGAGGGTCGAGTTCTATTTGATATTTATTCAGATATTCGTAGAGGTCTTCGGTGCCCAACACTTTAGCGATTCTGACCAATTGGTCGTAGTTGTCGTGGCCGTGAAAGAACGGCTCCTTTCGGAATATCATCGACGCCAACATACAGCCCAATGACCACATGTCCAATGAGTAGTCGTACATCTGATAGTCTACCAGCAGTTCCGGGCCTTTGAAATATCTGGAGGCGACGCGAACGTTGTATTCCTGCCCCGGATGGTAGAACTCAGCCAAACCCCAGTCGATTAGCCTTAACTATAATATAACAAATCAATAGTGAATCAAATGTGAAATGGTGTGCAAAAGTGGACACACTTTTCTATTTTCGTGATCAATCATCACATTATGAGGTTTGACGTCTCTGTGCATTATTCCCATACTGTGGCTGTAGTCCAAGGCTTTGAGTAATTCATACAAATAGAAACGGATGTCATAATCGGTTAACGTTTGGTACAGTTGTTTGAAGTCTGTATTATTCACGTGTTCGAAGATCAACGCCGGTGTCCGAGACTATCATCACAATTGGGATTAAGTATTTCACATAAACACTAAAAAAGTATATCAACACAAACCACGGCATCCTTCACCACCGCTTGAAGGGCTATGATATTTGGTCCGCCCCTCAGATTCTCTAATATCTTGATCTCACGTTTGATTTTCTTCTTTTTGACGGGCTTTGGAGGACAAGAGTCACATAATTAGGTCACTATTGGAGTTAACAGTGGTTAGAGACAGACCTTTAGTATTTTGACGACACATTTCTCATTGTTGGTGATGTTGATGGCCTCGAAGACCTCGGAGTACTTGCCGCGACCCAACTTCTTCACCAACTGGTAGTCGTCTTGGTTGCCCCACTCGACCACATGGGACTCGTAGTCCCAGTAGTCTCTCGATCGGTGAGAGTTCACGTCAGTGTAAACCCTCGATCGCGACGGTAATGGCATCACTGATGAGGAAGAGGTCCACAAGACTCGCGAATATATCCCACTGATAGCTATGATATCGGTTTTGACATTCAGTCCTCTCACAACAAATAGTGAACAATAGATCCACTTCTTTACGGACACTGCGGACACCACAGACACCAAACCAATGGTTACATCAATCGGTTCCCGTCTCCTATCAAAAAGACAACAAACCATTCAATACAACTAAACCATTCAATTGGTCCACAAATGTGGCCATCAATGCATTCAATGAGGGCTTTAAACGAGTGGTCGAGGATTGAGTGAACGCCGGCTCTAATACACAGCCATTCAATCAAACAATCAAATGAATGGCCAAACGAGTGGACACTCGCGAGTCGGCCAACGAGACAATGGATGGCTGGAGAAGGGATGGCATACCTGAACAAAGGTGTGATCAGTGGTCGGTGTGAATGTGTGTGTCATATGCTGTTGGATGTGCTGATAGTGTCATAGACTTGAATAGTCTGTGCCTTAGGTTTGCATTTGTCAGCAAAGATGGAGTCCAACCAAACCCTGTGCTCAACACAGACGGCAACTCAGACTCGCACTCAACGGCCCACACGTCGACCCAAACGCCGCCAAACCTGCCATACGTTCACCCCTTATAGAGAAGTGCATACAAACAGCGAAACCAGTGTTGAGCGCATCACACATCACATCACACATGCGCTCTAACCCTATGCTTATTACACACAATACAGTACAGACCCGGCGATAGACACCTCATTCTTACACAACGGCAACACTAAAACCCCTACAAAAACCCTCACAACTTGTTATATCATTGCGTTTCTCAGCATTCATTTAGCGTTTAATTTGTTAATTATTATTAAATCAATGATTTTTTATAAACATTTTTGACATAAAAATGTTATTCAATATAAAATTGTATTTCTTTGCAGAAAAATAACAACTCTTTTGCCTATATTGTAAAGGAATAAGTTAGTATTAGTATCAGTCTAGATCATTTACTATGTAAATTATACTTTGTAATACAGTAGTGCTTATTCTAGCAAGTTCTAACTAGTTATTAATTGAATGAAAAATGTTAGTTTCCATAAAATAATATACTATATGTTATCTTATATTGAAATCGTTTACAAATTAATGAACACTAAAACGTATGACATATTAATGTAATGATAATTGCATTCATATTATTAAGAAATTTATTTAATTTCTGATTACAGTATAAGAGATATGAATAAAACGTTTTGTTCGTAACATATAATCATTTTATACAATTTAAAGCCTAATCAGCTATTAATTTAACATTCACTACATTTAAGTTTAAAAGTTATACAAATTTTTGATTTTTCTACAAATGGAAAGTTAAGCCCAACTTATAAATGTTTTTAACAAATATTTTAACAAACATATGGTTTGTGTGATGTATTAAATCTAAAATATAATTAACCAAATATAAGTGAATATTAATCAAGAAAATAGTTGTTAAAAGTTTGGATTCAAATAAAGCGCTTCAAATTGATTTGTAACAAAAAAGTGGTGAAAAAATCCCATTAATTGAGACAAATATCGATTGAACGGAAAAAACCCCAGATTTTAAACACATATCATTTGTTCATAAAATGTTACAGTAGTGCTTATTCTAGCAAGTTCTAACTAGTTATTAATTGAATGAAAAATGTTAGTTTCCATAAAATAATATACTATATGTTATCTTATATTGAAATCGTTTACAAATTAATGAACACTAAAATGTATGACATATTAATGATAATTGCATTCATATTATTAAGAAATTTATTTAATTTCTGATTACAGTATAAGAGATATGAATAAAACGTTTTGTTCGTAAAATATCATCATTTTATACAATTTAAAGCCTAATCAGCTATTAATTCAACGTTCACTACATTTAAGTTTAATAGTTATACAAAATTTTGATTTGTCTACAAATGCAAAGTTGAGCCCAACTTATAAATGTTTTTAACAAATATTTAAACAAACATATGGTTTGTGTGATGTATTAAATTAAAAATGTAATTAAATAATAATGTTAACCAAATATAAGTGAATATTAATCAAGAAAATAGTTGTTAAAAGTTTGGTTTCAAATAAAGCGCTTCAAATTGATTTGTAACAAAAAAGTGGTGAAAAAATCCCATTAATTGAGACAAATATCGATTGAACGGAAAAAACCCCAGATTTTAAACACATATCATTTGTTCATAAAATGAATCAATTTTTATCAAATATTTTAAGTAATTTAAAATTTTTAATTAAAAACAGAAATAAATGACAAAAATAATAGAAAAGATGAGAAAAATGCATAAAAGAGTGGACAAAGAAATGGTGAATGCATTGAGTCTATTGTGTGAATGAGAGGAAAGGGTTGTCTGTATTTCAGGGCATTTGTAAACTCGAGTTATAGACAGGCTTTCATTGTTGTGTCCGTACAGTCCGTTCACATCGTTTGCCACTTCAAAGCGCTCTATATTGCTGTCGATCGCTGTCCACAACATTCACGCCAGACATCACTCCCTCTGATCCACAAGTGGTTGCCATCGCAGACACCGACACACCATCGCCAGAGACAGACTCGGCTTACCGTACATATGATCAATACGTTAAGTATTGACTGCAAAAAGGTTTGTTTCAAACGATTGAACCAAAAGTTTAATATGGAGTTCAATGGAGAAAAAGACATTCATTTTAATTACTAAATCCTTTCATTCAATCATATTTTTGGCCCATTTTTTCGGTCAATTCATTGCAAACGAAACGCATTTCTTATGAATATTACGCTTAATAGCTATTGAATAGTAGATTAAAGCCATTGATTGCCATTCAATGCCTGTTTCGCTCATTTATTAACGCATTTTTCCCATTATTCTCACGTTTTTAGCCGAAAATAAAGAGTTGACATAAGTTTGCGTTTATTGGCCGCTCTTCTCACCATTTACTACCGTTTTAGACATCATTTCCATTAGTCTTAACGTTTTTATCGATTTGTCGATTCATTAATCGCTTAAATCCCAAACACATTGCAAGAAATGCCGAACTCGTCGTCACCGGAACCGTCGGATAGAAGTGAAGACAATTCATATAACAGTGATTCCAATACTAATAATAATAACAATCATAACAACAATAATAATAATAACAGTTATAATGAAAACAATAGTGAGAGTGAAGGGAATAATGATTCAGACAATGACTCCGACGACGACAAGCCATTGGCCAGTAAACTGAATGCCAGCCACGGAAGTGATTCCGATGACAATGACAACAACGGTAATGATTATGACAGCGAATCGCACTCACAGTCGCAGTCAAACAACAACAACAATAACAACCATTCCTCTCAGTCTATAAAGAGAGAAAGGAGTGATTCCGACGACGATAGCGACAACGAACCGCTTTCCAAGAAGTTGTCAAAAAGTGTGAAGAAAGAGGACTCCGATGACGAGTATTCGCCAAAGAAAGAGACGAAAGTGAAGACTGAGAAGAAAGAAGTGAAGAAAGAGCCGAAGAAAGAGCCCAAAAGTAAGAAACGAAAGAAGGAATCGGATTATGACTCGGAATATAACTCCGAAGACGAGGACTACGGACGCAAAAAGAGTAGTAAAAAGAAATCAAAGTCTTATTCGGATGACGACGACGACGACTATAAGGACTCCAAAAGCAAGAAGAAGGCAAAGAGCGGCAAAAATGACAAGAAAAGTGATACTAAGAAGAAGAGCGTCAAAAAAGAGGTGACTTCGAGTCCAGAGAAGAGTCCGACGAAGAAGAAAGTGAAGAAAGAGGAGAACGAAGAGCACATCTGGAAGTGGTGGGAAGAGGAGAGGCCCGGAGAGGGCATTAAGTGGAAGACATTGACACATAAGGGACCGGTGTTTCCGCCGCCATACGAACCGCTGCCCAAAAGTGTCAAATTCTATTACGACGGCAAACCATTAAGGCTTAAACCAGAAGCCGAAGAAGTGGCCGGTTTACTCCGATGACGAGTATTCGCCAAAGAAAGAGACGAAAGTGAAGACTGAGAAGAAAGAAGTGAAGAAAGAGCCGAAGAAAGAGCCCAAAAGTAAGAAACGAAAGAAGGAATCGGATTATGACTCGGAGTATAACTCCGATGACGAGGACTACGGACGCAAAAAGAGTAGTAAAAAGAAATCAAAGTCTTATTCGGATGACGACGACGACGACTATAAGGACTCCAAAAGCAAGAAGAAGGCGAAGAGCGGTAAAAATGACAAGAAAAGTGATAGTAAGAAGAAGAGCGTCAAAAAAGAGGTGACTTCGAGTCCAGAGAAGAGTCCGACGAAGAAGAAAGTGAAGAAAGAGGAAAACGAAGAGCACATCTGGAAGTGGTGGGAAGAGGAGAGGCCCGGAGAAGGCATTAAATGGAAGACATTGACACATAAGGGACCGGTGTTTCCGCCGCCATACGAACCGCTGCCCAAAAGTGTCAAATTCTATTACGACGGCAAACCATTAAGGCTTAAACCAGAAGCCGAAGAAGTGGCCGGTTTTTACGCCCGAATGTNTGGAAGACATTGACACATAAGGGACCGGTGTTTCCGCCGCCATACGAACCGCTGCCCAAAAGTGTCAAATTCTATTACGACGGCAAACCATTAAGGCTTAAACCAGAAGCCGAAGAAGTGGCCGGTTTTTACGCCCGAATGTTAGACCACGACTATGTGGCCAAACCTGCCTTTAATAAGAACTTCTTTAAGGACTGGAGAAAGACTATGACTGAAGACGAGAAGCAAACGATAAGTGATTTAAAGAAATGTAATTTCAAAGATATGGCCACACATTTCAAAGAGGAATCAGAGAAACGCAAACAGAAGACTAAAGAAGAGAAACAGGAGATTAAGAAACAGAACGAGAAACTGATCGAAGAGTACGGCTATTGTATAGTCGATGGACACAAGCAAAAGATCGGTAACTTCAGGATAGAGCCGCCGGGACTGTTCCGCGGGCGCGGAGAGCACCCGAAGATGGGAAAACTGAAGAAAAGAGTTCGACCCGAAGATGTGATCATAAACATTGGTAAGAAAGTGGATCCGCCGGCGCCTCCCACTGGACGCAAGTGGAAGGAAGTGCGTCACGACAACACTGTCACGTGGTTGGCCTCATGGCAGGAGAACGTGATGGGAAATGTCAAGTATATTATGTTAAACCCGTCGTCTAAACTCAAAAGTATCAAAGACTGGCAAAAGTACGAAAAGGCGCGCGAACTGAAGAAATACATCTCCAAAATTAGAGACGATTATCGGATCGACTTTAAGGCGAGAGAAATGGTGAAACGCCAACGCGCTGTCGCTCTCTATTTCATCGATAAGTTAGCCCTCAGAGCCGGTAATGAGAAAGAAGAGGGCGAGACTGCAGATACTGTCGGTTGTTGTTCACTACGAGTGGAACACATCAAACTCCACGACAAGAAGAATGGGAAGGAATATGTGGTCGACTTTGATTTCTTGGGTAAAGACAGCATTCGTTACGAGAACTCAGTATCTGTTGAGAAAAGGGTTTATAAAAATCTGAAACATTTCATGGAAAGCAAGAAAGGAAGCGACGATCTATTCGATAGGATAGACACCGCAGAACTCAACAGATACCTGACTTCACTTATGGATGGCTTGACAGCCAAAGTGTTTAGGACTTACAACGCGTCACAAACTCTTCAGTTGCAGTTGAATGAGTTGACCAAATCATCTATGAGTTTACCCGAAAAGATATTGGCCTACAATCGGGCCAATCGTGCCGTCGCTCTCCTCTGCAACCATCAAAGAGCTGTTCCAAAAACATTCGACAAACAGATGGAGAACTTGGAGGTGAAGATTAAAGACAAGAAGAAAGTGGTGAAGGAAGCGAAGAAGAACTACAAGGAGGCCAAGAAGAATAAGGACAATGCGGCCAATGTGGCCAAATTCAAGAAGAGGATGGAAACACTTGAGGATCAACTCGAGAAACTGGTGCTCCAGAGGACTGATAAGGNGTGGTGAAGGAAGCGAAGAAGAACTACAAGGAGGCCAAGAAGAATAAGGACAATGCGGCCAATGTGGCCAAATTCAAGAAGAGGATGGAAACACTTGAGGATCAACTCGAGAAACTGGTGCTCCAGAGGACTGATAAGGAGGAGAACAAACAGATCGCTTTGGGAACTTCTAAACTTAATTATTTAGATCCAAGGATTACTGTTGCCTGGTATGTGTCCGCACATGTCCTATATTGATATTCACTAATTGATTGATTTCTTGTTATGTGACTACAGGTGCAAAAAATGGGACGTCTCTATAGAAAAGGTTTATAACAAAACACAAAGAGATAAGTTTCGGTGGGCTATAGAAATGGTTGGTCCCGAATACCAATTCTGATCGCATTCACCGATATATTCCTTAACATATATGATATTAGTTTTAATTTTCATTTAATGATTTCATCATATAATTTAAAATTGACAAAAAATCCCATTAAAAAGAGTTCTGTTAAACATTACTACATAAACCACATGTCACTCATTATAAGCATTTATATACAAATCACAAAATCAATTGATTCGTATATATCATGGTATTTCATTAATTGTTTACATTTATATACTCTTAAAACCTCATTATTGCTAATAATTTATACTAATTTTTTCAGAATTTTTTGTTACGATTTAATGAATTTTCTTTAAAAATTTTGTTTAAAAAATTGATTTCAAATTATTTAAATTAATAGCCGTTTAAAAAGATGATTAGTTTGTTTTCGGGTCCATTATTTACACCACGTTTATAATGAATTATCAATTCCTTCATTTCGTACACTAATATCGTCTTTACGTTTGAATCCAAGTGTATATGAAATTGTCTTTTAGTTTACATTCACTAAAAGTTAGCGAATTATTTATATTTATTGTAATTTACATTTTATTACAACAAAAATACTTTAAACAAATGAATTTAAAGGTAAAGGCTTTTAGGCTAAAGATTTCATTATATATATTAATAAACATTTTAAAATTGTAGTCAAAATTTAATTCAAATCTTGTGTTTTTATTATTTACTTATATTTGACATTAAATTGAATGAGAAAATAACGAAATTTTCTGGCGTTTAATTCATTTCAATTCTCATCGCATTTGTGAGTGAATGGTGTGTGTTATCCATGATATCCGTGTTTGTGATTGTCTGCGGGTAAGTGTGCGTAATAACCCCACGGAGCGAAACTATGGTAGCCGTGCCCTTT